TCAAACATATATGATTTTGTTAATTGTAAAACTTTATTTTTTTGTTTGTAAAAATCCCTATTAAAAATAGATAAATGATTATATAACAAAATAAATAAAATTCAAGTAATAAAAATTTGTAAATGTTTTATATATCATTTAAATATTTAAATAACAAAATATTTAACATGACTAAATTTTAAATAGTTAAAATAACAAATTTATGTAATGAATTGATGAGAATAAGAATTATCATATTTTTATCCCTAAATATTCAGTCTTTTATACTTAATTAGTACTTAATTGGACTCATTATTCTTGTATTTCGATTTAGGGCACGGAAGAAGGCGTCAGAAGAAAAATAAGGCTAATCAGTTAATTTTGCACAGTTTCGGCGCCGCTTAGTAATCTGGGTATAACTCTCCCATCCGGACTCTGATTGAGATTATTCAAGATGCATTGGAAAGATAGGGAAGAACTTTACAACTTTCTTGTTTTGAGTTTTGATAGATTCGGGCTACATCAAAGTCAAAATCGGGCCCGAAGTTTGAGAAAATTCGTAGGGAAGCCCAGTTCGCAGCAGAAACCCAACTCGCAGAGAAGCCTTGTAGCGACCCAATTCGTTGAGGCAGCCTAATACGAATGCAAGAATAAGAAACTGCAAAGTGTCCTATCAGATTTAATTTTCTGATGTAATTCTAGAAAGATAAAGGAGATTGAGATTAGTAAATAAGAGGTAAGAATAGGATTAGATTAGGACTTTCTATTTTTGAGGAAGAACTCCAAGAAGGAGTTGGAAACAACCCCTCCTCCTAAAGCTATATAAAGGGAGGGCGGACTAGTAGCAGGGCATCAATCAACCACTGGAGCAATCAAGGAGAAATCCTCCAAGAGAGATTCAGCCTTCAAGAAGGCAGTCGGCAACGCAGGAGGAGAAAAGGAGGAAGGCGGCGGCAAGGAGAAGAAGTTCATCGATCTCAACCTCAAGGGGCGACATTATGAGTTATTTCTTATACCTTGTTTGTTTAATTTCCTTTATAATGAACTAATCTATTTGTAGCTGGGGCTGTGGAAAGCTTAACCATGACCATGGATTGATTTTTATTTAGTTCAGCCAAGTTGTTTTTATTTTCATATTGTCTATGAGTTATTATGCGTAATGCAATTAGGAGCTTGGCCACCTCCTAGTTGATTGGTTTATATGAATGAACCGGGAGGGGAATTCATATAAAAGACTAAATAATTCATAGTGTGAATTGAATGGTATTTAGGAATATATATACATGATTCATCTGATGACATAGGTTTTTCATAGAACTTATTGCACTTTCTATCTCGAGAACTCTAATCAAGGGATCGAAGGGTTATTTGATAGAAGTAGGTCTGATATATCCTGGGAGGGAATATCAGATAAATTAGGAAAGACTTCAGCTTATGAAAATAATGAATCATCTTGGTTTAATTTAATAAATTGATGTTCATTGGGATGGTTAGGTGGACCAATAGTTCTAGCGCTTTCAATTAAATCGTTGCAAGTTCAGTCGTTGATTGCCTTTGTTTTTAATTTTGTTCTTTCTTTTTCTATCTTTAATTTTCAGTAGTTCCTATTGTTAGAATTCAGTTGTTCAAATAATTGAGGGAAGCTATAGTTCTAAAAGTTATTTTGTTAAATCATCATGGGAACGATATCTTTATACTACTTGATAACTAGTGCACTTGCTAGGGTTATATAATCATAGCTATCATGAATTTTAAAAAGTTCTTAAAAGTTGAAAAATAGTTATAATAGATTTCATAATATTCAATAAAGAATTATGTATTAATAGTATTTGTTGATGCTCATAATGGGCTGAGGACAACTCTGTAGCTTCACTTCTCGGACGAGCTGGCATATGGAAGAGTCCATTGTGGTTAAGGTCGGCTGAGGCCGAGTACCAATGGGATCCGAGGAGAGCCGAGGCTGAGGACCAGTGGGGTCCGAGAACCTGCAAAGAAAGGGACGTTAGAGGCCCCAAGCGCTAGCTCAAGGCGGGGGACTATGACGGTCAAGTTGGTGAGGGCGTAGGAGGGAGGGCGGACGAGGCCTGAGTATAGTAGCTCGGACTTCACAGGTCCTTGGCCTCAACAGCCCTTAGAATGGGCTGAGGACAACTCTGTAGCTTCGCTTCTTGGACAAGCTGGCATATGGAAGAGTCCATTATGGTTGAGGCTGAGGACTAGTGGGGTCGGAGGAGTGCCGAGGCCGAGGACCTGCAAAGAAAGGGACATTAGAGGCCCCGAGCGCTAGCCCGTGGCGAGGACTTCGACGGTCAAGTTAGTGAGGGTGTAGGAGAAAGGGTGGACGAGACCTGAGTATAGTAGCTCAGATGAGGTTGCTTAGGAGCTAGAGAGCTTGGAGTAGCGGGTTTCCAACCTAGGTCTTAGGTGATTACCTTAAGGGGGGTAACACCTAATACTTGAGACTACCATCCGAGGTCACCGCGCGTGGCTGCGCCATTGGTCCCGTGCTGCACACCGCACCCAGCCGCGTGTCGACGTGCTGTTGGCTTACCTAAAGCGCCTACTGATTATAACTTTATGAATGATTAATTTCAATAAATAATTAATATTTATAATGTTGTAAATAATTATTTTCACTTATATAAATTAATAAAATAGAAAAAATGAAAACAAATAATATTTATTAATTTTACAACAATAGTGTATATTCATTATATAGTTATATATACTAAAATTAATATTTATTGTATTTTTAGTAATTATTTATTATATTTTTGATAAATATATTATCATTAATTATTTATAAATCTATTTTTATTTTGTCATTTAATAGAAATTTGTCTATAGTTATTGGAGATTAAAAAACTATTATTTAACTTTGAAATTTAGTTTATTGTATTTTTTTATAAATTTATTTTTAGTAATTATGTATTTTTAATTTACTGATTAATATTTATTAGAGATTAAACTATTATTTGAGATTGAACTATTTATTGACTAATTTGTTATTTTTCATATTTATTACATACTTTCAATTATTGTATTTTTATTAGATATCTATTTTATTTTATTATAAAATTATTTCAATAATTATGTATTTTTACTATAAAATATCAATAATTGTTGGAGATCAAACTATTGTTTTTTATTTGATATTAGATTATTAATTTAGTTGGAATTAGAAGTGTTCAAGGATTGGTTCAGTTTGGTTGTAGGTTGTTTCGCCAACCAAATTGACATGGTCAGGTCGGGAGTTTGTCATTTGAAACCGACTAACCATTTGTTAAACATGCCAACTCGGGTTGTATTGATTTGGATCTATTTTTGGTTTGGTTTGTCTAATCAAAAGATTTAAAATTTAAAAATTTAATAAATTATAGTGGTATTATTAAAAAACAAATCTAAAAACTTGGATTTATGATATGAAATAGTTTAGACTAAGAAATATGGGATTTTCACACTTTACCATATTAAAAAATTTATATAATAATAATAATAATAATAATAATATCTATGGTCGGGTCGGTTCAATTCTTGTCAATTTACAAATGGCTAAACTAAAACTAACCTAAGTTGGTTGGGTTGAAAAATTGCTAAAACCAAAGCCAATCGGAAATATTTGAAAACCAACAAACTCGAGTCAAGTTCGATTGGATTGGTTATTAAAAAGTCTAAATATAAAACAATTATATACTCTTATGTATTTATATTATTTGGTTTTCGCTTAACATAGCCCATGGATCGCAGAGTCCCGCTGTATACATTTGGGATCATTGGGGAAGAGGATCAAGTTGGCCCTTGCGAACARCTTGATGCACTATCTCCCTTCAACCCTTTGAGCGAAATGCGACAAAATGAAGAAAAATCCATGGAACGACCCCATCATCTCCACCCCGTAGGAACTACGAGATCACCCCAAGGACGCCTTCGGCATCCAGGGGTCACGGACCGACCATAGAACCCTGTTCAATAAGTGGAACGCATTAGCTGTCYGCTCTCAGGTTGGGCAGTAAGGGTCGGAGAAGGGCAATCACTCATTCTTAAAACCAACATTCTTAATTCATTAGCATGCATTCTCCTTGATCCATTACCCCACCATCCACTCTCCTTTACTCTCTTTTCTCTCCCATTCTCACCACTCCTATTAAGCCATGTCACAATTCCCAATCTAGCTACATAAAAATATTCTAAAATCTTTATCCTAAGGAATCTCTTTTAGAGGTGGGGAAATTCGAGGGTTTCCTATCCCTAATGGGGAGTGGGTGCCTTGCCCTAAACATGCCTACTATTGGGATTGGGGTGAGGATGGGGTAGAGTGTCTTGAATAAGGAGCGGGTACAAGGATGGGGTGTCCCACCCCGAACTCACCCCGTTGCCATTCCTATATAATTGTTAATTATTAATGAAATTAATAAAAATATTAGCTTTTATAATTATTTTTATTTATTTGAAGTTAATAAAAATTTAATTTAAAAATATTAGAAACAATAACAATTATTAAAATTAATATGAATGATAAATAAAATTAAATTTATTAAAAAATATTTATTTATATTAAATTAACAATAATTTTTTTTTCTGTAAATCAACATTAAATGAAAAATGTAATTATTAAAATTTTAAATATTAATAGTAATTTTGAATACTTTTAATTAATTAATAGTAAAATTTAATTATTAATAATAAATAAAATTATTCAATCTTTCAGATTTTGTCACGAATCCCCGCTAGTTCTCTATATAATAAATGTATAGATGGATTTGAGTATAATACTAGAAAGACCTGATAATGTTAAAAACTTGTGACCAGTCAATCGATATCATAATTGTGATAATCATTCAGGTGGTATGTATCAAAATGTACATGGGGTTTTCATTGTTCAAAGCTCTTCCCATATCGTGTATTTTTCGCATTATAGATTTTATATTTTTATTTATAAATTACTATATATAACAAATTAATAGTCCTTAGGATGGGTGTTAACATCGGCCCAGGTCCGGCCCAATATCACCTGATCACCTTCACCCTAGCAGGCCTAAAAGCTCTTGCATAGGGTTTGTGGCCCAATCTCTCTCCCTCGGCGAACCACCCTGCCGGTCTACCTTGCTGCTTTGCTGCCTTGCTTGGCAAGCTTTAAGGAGCTTGAAGCTCTAATGAAACCTCTTTCACTCTAAACTTTCAAGGTTCCAAGCTGAGCTCCAAAAGTACGACGAATTCCTCTATCGCATAATTGGCATAAACAAGGTACTTATACAAGTATATCCCTAAAAACCCCCTTATATAAAAGCTTTTGATTCAATGATTTGTGTCATGTTTTTTAGATCTTCATCTAGATATTCTACTTTACCCTGTTGGAATAGCCTGAGATCTATGAAATTTTAGATAATTTCAGCATTTCCTCCTGATTTGCGATATTTTCTGTTCGTTCTTCCATGCATATGTAGATTGCCGGGGCTCAATCGAATTGAAGATGTTTCTTACCAGGTGAGAACACTTCGATGCCAATTACAGGGCTGCTGTCTATTTGTTATAATTCTTTATTTATTTTTACCGCTGAGGCATCCTTTTCCGTGGTCGAAGGACTGAATACGATAGGGGTGTCAACACATTCTCTCCGGAGGGGCGGTTGTTTCAGGTCGAATATGCCATCGAGGCGATCAAGGTAATCTAACACGCGTGTAAATGGGTGGGTGTTTGGGTTATCTTATACTGAGTGAAAAGAGGGTGCTTTATATAGGGAACTCGTGTTTCTTGCAGTTGGGTTCGACTGCAATTGGGTTGAAGACGAAGGAAGGAGTTGTGCTCGCAGTCGAGAAGCGCATTACTTCCCCATTGCTGGTTAGACACTTTTACTAATTTCATTTGTGTTCATTTATTTATTTTTCTTAGTTTCTTATGTTTATTGTTTTATTTTAATAGTTGCTAGTTATTTGGACAAGGCCTAGTTGAGTGGAGTACAGTAGTTGCTAATTATGGTGGAAGGTTGGTTTTGTGAATCATTCTCCTCTCTAAAGCCCCCTCCTCCACGAGCCGGTCAGACATGGTTGTACTACTTTTACACTGTCAGCATAGTTTTCAAGGTGCCAAGGCGAGGCTAGGCGACAGGGGGGCACCTTGTTGCCCAAGTGACTAGGCGTCACCTAGGCAATGGATTTTTTTATGTAGAAAACATAGATCCTAGGGTAGTTCCCTAGGTGGCTAGGTACCATAACCATATTTCTTTATTACTTATTCATAATTTAATAAGAAAAGTATAGAGTTCATGTTAAAGTATAGAAAACCAACATATTAATGAGAAGAAAAAGAAGGAAAAGAAAAATAAAAAAATAGGGGCTGAACCCTTATTTTTGTTATAGGAAAAGAAGAAAAGTAAAAATGTGTTGATTAGACAAAATTTTAAGTTTTTCCTTACTTATTGGTTCTGGTTTTAAAGTCTTTGAGGATTCAATACAGCATTTATCAATGTTTGTATTGATTAAACCCTAACAAATAAGAAAATAATAAAAAGAAATTAGTATATAAACACACAAAATGAATATTTTAGTTTAATAGTGCCTATTTTATAATTATAATGTCAAAAAATAAAGAATAAAAAGTATTTTATAATACATAGTACAAAACTGCTTGCCGATTAGGCGAGCCGAGCCTCAAAGGGTGCCTTGTCGCCTAGGCGTGGCCTTGACAACTATGACTGTCAGCATTCCTTGTTTAGAGCATATTTACAAGCAATCCATGGCTTGCTTATTGGGCTATGTATCTATCTTTTTTGCCAATACTTGTATTCATACTGGTAATTTAATGGTTTTTAGTGTTCAGGTATGGCTGCATTTATTTCATTTTCAATTTCTGTTGCAGGAGCCCAGCAGCGTGGAGAAAATTATGGAAATTGATGAACACATAGGGTGTGCAATGAGTGGATTGATAGCTGATGCTCGTACACTTGTTGAACACGCAAGAGTTGAAACTCAGGTGCTGTTGTTATTCACTTTTCACTCTCATAGGAATTGTTAATGTTGACAAATAACTCATTTTACGTATCATTTTCCAGAACCACAGGTTCTCATATGGGGAGCCAATGACTGTGGAGTCTACCACTCAAGCTCTCTGTGACCTTGCCTTGCGGTTTGGTGAAGGAGATGAAGAATCCATGGTTATACCTGCTTCTCTTTTGGATGTTAATTGTTTCTATTGTAATGAGCAAGTGGCAACTTAGTTAAGATGTTTTGCGTGCGAATAGTTTCTGTATGATTTCATCATATTTAATCTGTGCAAGATTGTTGTATCCCTTCCCCAAAATGGTCATATCCAAAGTTTTTGTTTTCTTGATAAGCAATAGAAAGTTATTGATTTTGTAACATGAATATTTGATTAAAGAGTCACTGACTGAAACAGTGAACCCTTCTTTGGTAGACTTGCCCTGAGTAGGCGAGTATCTATATCTAGCCTTTGATCTCTTAATGTACATTCAATCTCCATTGGAAACACTACCTTAGTATAACTCCTGTCTATTAGTCCCTTGCCTAGCTAAGGCATCATCTAGTCAATTAGCTGATCTCTCTACCCAATTGAATGATGTTCTTATATCCCTAGCTATATCACCTCTGTTATATGCTGTGCCCAGAAATCCAAGGTCCTTCTTGTTTTTAATCCATTCCACCACTACCCCTGCCACCACCTTAAAATCTCCCTCCACCACAAGTTTATTATATTTGACTATTTGAGGGAATTTTCCATTCTTAAACCTTGCAGTACTGTTAACACCATCTCTCTAGTTGAGTTGCCAAAGGCTATAGGCCTAAAGTAGATGGTAACAATCATGTGATGACAGCCCGCCCCTAAACATACATCAAATACATGAATTTCTACGGTTAGTTGTATTGCACCCATCGAAGTTCAAGTTGGTGGTTCCCACTTTATATGGGGCTTTTCAACACAGATAGATTTAGAGGAAAGTGTGTTTTTCAGGTGTATAGGGTGCTAGTGTTTGTGAGAAGCTGAGCAACCTCTCATACTCCATTGTTTTGCTGTTATAGTGGATTTCTGCTCATCCTCCCGTGGATGTAGGCACATGGCCAACCATGTTAACTCTCTGTGTTCTATTGAGTTCGTTTGTTCCTGTTTGTTTTTCTATTTTCCAATAAGTTAAAGGTCTTAGGTTTGTAGTTTCGCAACAAATTTGTATCAGAGCCTTTTGGTTTGTGACTGGGTTTTGTGATGGTGGCAAGAGCAGTGTCAACAATGACATATGACAAAGAGAAGTTTGATGGAAGGAACTATTTCAATTTGTGGCGTATCAAGGTGTGTACCGCGGTGGTGTAGTAGGGGTTGCTCAAGGTGTTGAAAGGGAAGGAAGCTTTATCGACAACAATGTCTGAAGAGAATAAAGATGATCTTCTAGAGTGTGCACTTAGTGCTATCCAGTTATGCTTGTCCAATGAAGTGTTAAGCATATTTGAACTCTAAAAAGTTGAAAAAGCGGGTGTCTTCCTATAAAAAAAAGCAGGTGTCGGAGAGTCAGCTTGAGGATTAGGTAGATGGCTTAATTGTGAAAGGCAGAACAAAACAAGAAGGGTTAGGTAGTTGGGGGAAATCCAGATCAAAGTCTAAGTCTTGGAAAGTTAAACACTATTAATGTCATGTGGTTGGCACATCAGGAAAAACTGTCCAAAGCACAAAGATAAGGGGAAAAAGAAGTTGAAAACAATTCTATAGCTACAAATGTTGCTAGTGGAGGGGGAAGTTCTGATATTTTTAGGATATTTTGACAGTGTTTGCTTGTAGCTCAAGTGATGAGTGGATTCTTGATTCAGGTTGTACTTTTCACATGTGCCCAGATAAAAATTGGTTTTCCACATACAAGGCAATTAGTGGTGGTACAATTTTGTTGGGGAACAATAAGGGGCTTTCTGTTGTTGGTGTGGGCACAATTTGGGTTAGATGTATGATGGTATTGTTAGAACATTGGAGGTTCAACATGTTCTAGAATTGAAGGAAAACCTAATATCTTTAGGCATTATAGATTTCCATGGTTATCAATTTTTAGCTGAAGGTGGAGTCTTGAAGGTTTTTAAAGGTGTTCTGGTTGTAATGGAAGGGAAGTTAATGGCCTTTATCATCTCTTGGGAAGCACAGTTATTGGCAGTTTTGATGTGCCTTTCTGATTATGATTTGTTTCCACTCAGTTATGGCATGCATCTGGGGTGTATGAGTGAGGGGCATGACAAAGTTGAGCAAATGGGGTTTGTTGTATGGTCAGAGGATTGGTAATCTAAATTTCTATGAAAATTGTGTTTTCAGTAAACAAAGCAGAGGGAATTTCAGTACACTTGTTCATAGAACCAAAGGACATTTTGATCTTTGGGGTCCTCTTTTAGTTACATGTAAGGGTGGTTCACAATACTTGTTGACATTCATTGATGACCATTCATTTTTTTTTTATCAGAAATGATAATTTTCATTAGAGATAAATTAACCTGAAAAACAGAATTCAACCTTTATTAGAAAAGGTTGATCCAATAAACATCAAACATTACAGCACTGCCCAATAAAGACTCTCCCTTACAGTCCCTTGTTTTGCTAGGGCGTCAGCAAAACCATTTGCTGATCTCCTTACCCACTTGAACCAAACACCCACCTCCCTTGTTATGCTAAGAATTTCCCTTATCAGCTGTCTATATT